AATAATACTTAACGAAGAGGGCTAACAAAATTACTAAAAATATTCATTAGTATTAAATAATTTATAAAATCAATATGACAGATCAATAAGTCGTCATTTATATTGAGGCACAGCCGCGTTATTCTTTAGCCGAGCCCTCAGTTTTAACGTCTCATTTGAGCAGTATTTAATTTTTAAATTGTTCATAAGTCAACTAAGACCCGAGCGAAGCTGAGATCACTTGAATTCTAACGCTTTCCTTTGCCCAATGTCAAATATTTGAATTTCTTAAGTGACCATGCAATGACGAACTGTCGAAGTATACACTAGAAATATTCAATATTCATCGCTTTGAATACTGTACATCTCTAAACGACTGTGTTAGAAGATAATTTTTTCGATGGCGTGCCATATAGAAATGGTTGACCAGTATGTAAGGACATCGGAGACTTTGAACGTTCACATACTTATTGTCTCGCGCAGCATTAACTTTTGTGTACTAGTAAGTGGGTGTGCAATATGAATATTTAATAGGGTTTCGCGGTCCAGATGTGTGTTTGGTAAATAATAAAAGCTTTTGAACGCCCGTTACAATGCGCTTGTGTATTTTATATTTTCGTGTGCGGAGGTGGTATGAAAAATCAACAAAATAAAACAATTAATCGCTAGTAATCGATTTATAATGCATCTAGTGCACCCCTTTTCTCATTAATACCAAGTTATTTCACTATCGAAGAACCGATAACCGATGGGGAAGAAAGGATCTCGAGTGGCAGCCTCGTACCGGTAGGCGTAGTATAGGGCGACCCCCCACTAGATGGAGTGACGACCTGGTAAGATATGCAGGAAGTCGATGGATGCAAGTGGCTCAGGACCATATTTGTGGCATTACTTGGGGGAGGCGTATGTTCAGCAGTGGACTTGTGAAGGGCTGTAATGATGATGATGATTTCACTATCCTATATCATCCCGTGGGTGTTGCAAGAGGTAACAGAAGTATACGTGGTAGTGCCACGCTGCAGCTATATTATGGTTGTAGCACGAATGGGTCGGCTCAACCACGGAAGGATCACGCTCTGACAGAATAGCAGCTTAATACTGATGTGTTTCGTATGGTGAGTATAGAGATTCGGAGACTCTTTTTTTACTGGAAACAAGGCATTCTACCTTAGTCCTCAGGGGTGACAACGCATTTGCATTTTGATTCTTAATCGAGGATAATTGTAGATATCTATAGGCCACAGCATCCACTTACCATCAGGTGGACTGTGTGCTTGTTTGTCACCCTTATCCTATAAGAAAAAGGAAAACGAGGCAGGAGACGTGAGAGGAGAAAACATATTAAAAATAATAAAAATCTGTAGTTGGCCACCCGTTAAAGAGGCAATCTATTTCAGCCGTGGACTTTGATAGGCTGTACTGATGATAATGATGATGATGATGATAATTATGATGAATGAATTATTAGAAATTATTTATTTTATCACATACATAAAACCTTTTAAATCTAATATGTATTCAGTTCTTGTTATGCATCGCGTGCGCGCCGAAGAATCAGTCGGTGTCCATCTATGCAAATTTCTGGGAAGCATTTAACTGGGGCCTTGGTTAGCTTTGCTCCCACTGTGACCAAACAAAAGCTCGAATGTATGACTTATCGATTGTACAAACTCTTCAACTTTGTTATTACTAATAATAGTCTATTTAGGTTACCCTTTTATTGAATATGCATGACAAACGAGCACACAGTCCACCTGATGGTAAGTGGATGCTGTGAACCATACACACCTTCACTTATGTTCGATTAAGAATAAAAATATAGATATCACCCTCAGGATTAGGATAGAATGCAACATTACCAGTAAAGACATTCACAATAGATCTTTTAGGCCGCAGTGACACTGGTCTCTTTCCCTAGACCTGCAAGCTGCTCGCACATAATAATAATAATGTCCTCCAGACCGAATTTCGGCCACGGCGGCCTGCCTCAACGGAGGCTAGCCATCGGCGCAGGACAGGATTATAGTGCCCAAGTGTATGCGCAAGCACAAGTGCACTCTCTATTGCCTCACTCTCATAGTCCAATGGGACGGTAAACCGACACGACCGGAGAGAGATCAGGCGCAGGAGCAACGGTTTTACGTGCTTTCCGAGGCACGGGGGTGAGACACCGCCAACTTCCTGACTCCGGGCAGCTACTGAGAACTTCTTGACACAAAACTCAATGATTGATTTTCTGTCCCGACCCGGGATTCGAACCCACGACCTCATGATCAGCAGGCGCACTACTACAACCACTAGACCAACGAGGCAGTCATCTGCTCGCACATAATACTAATAGAAAGGGATTAAAATGACGTCTATCCTACTAGAGGCGACAAAGGGAAACTGAAATAGGAGATGAGCAGCGTCATCGTCCTGATAACAACGCAAAATTATGAAAAATTGCAGTCACCAAATCTAAGCATGACAACTGTGATAAAATTTCCCCTGAAGCAAACTATGGGAGAGGCCTATCTTAGCAATGAATTTTTTTATGCTATAGTGGATAAAATTAATAGAAATATTTAAGAAAATGGTGATGTGATTCAATTGTTTCACTACTGCCTATTACTACTGACTGCCTCGTTGGTCTAGTGGTTGTAGTAGTGCGACTGCTGATCATGAGTTCGTGAGTTCGAATCCCGGGTCGGGCCAAAAAATCAATCATTGAGTTTTTCTGTCAAGAAGTTCTCAGTAGCTGCCCGGAGTCAGGAAGTTGGCGGTGTCTCACCCCCGTGCCTCGGAAAGCACGTAAAACCGTTGCTCCTGCGCCTGATCTCTCTCCCGGTCGTGTCGGTTTACCGTCCCATCGGATTACGAGAGTGGGGAATAGAGAGAATAGAGAGGGAATAGAGAGTGCACCTGTGCTTGCGCATACACTTGGGCACTATAATCCTGTCCTGCGCCGATGGCTAGCCTCCGTTGAGGCAGGCCGCCGTGGCCGAAAATTCGGTCTGGAGGACATTATTACTGTACTACTGTAAAATTTACAAATAAAAATTTTGAAATTGACGAGTATTATATAACAGTAAAATAACAGAACTAGCAAATTATAGAGAGTTAATACGTGTGTTATTCGAAACAAAACGCGGGGTTGGAAATTAAGGACTTGCACATCTAGTTATTGCCCTTAAGTACAACGTGAAGTAAATAAAATCGGCACAAAGTCAGGCCACGTGTAATTTGGCTCGTCGAAACCTCATTTACGTTGCAACGGTCCGGCCTCGAGCGGTGCTAATGTACACGGCAATTCTTTGTCGTAAATAAAGCAAAAATAATTTAAAAATAATGTAAAAACGTTGAACGGGAAGCAAAAAGAGTGATGGGTTGGTCCACCACACCCTCGAGACGTGGAGTGATCGGCCACGGTAATTACACTGTCATACTTCTAAAGATTACAAATATTAAATCCGTATTTTTATGTATGCAATTAATGGGAACGAAGAATAAGCTGTTAGTTTAATTGAAATAGTGTTGTTATAGCTTTTTGACTTATTGTACAGATTATATCCTTGATGATTAAATAGTGCAGTGGTTAAGTTTTTGGCTATAACTCTCAACATGGGTAATTGCACGATAATATTAATCGAATAACCGTTTTCGATTTTCGTCAATTTGCAATTTGTCTATGTATACCGCCTCCATGATAGAAAAGTCGTACTACATCGAAGTTACCCAAGTTGGTTTTCTACTATCGTTAAAACTAATAGAAAACTATAATGAAATGAAATGAATGAATGAAATCTATGACGAATCAGGTGACAGTCACGTGATTTAACGTTGAGATTTTCCTATCATCGATCGCTAATAAATTAGTGATCGATATTTCGTATCAATTTTTAATGCCGCATGGACTTAATAACGTATTTGAAAAATATTTTTTAATTAATTAAGTTAATTTTAATTCAAAATTGTCCTAGATCAGGTACCTGTTATTGTAGACAATTTTAGGTTAAATTTTAGTTTAAGGCATTGTTTGAATTAATAGATTTAGATTAATATTATATATATCATTTATATATTATGATTTACTAGCTTGCCGCCAGGCAGACGTTGTTCTGCCCTTTTCGACAACCTATCGTCATGTTCTATTAAAAATCCTTAAATTCGTAAAAAAAGTTGGCACTCATGGACAAAAAAGCTATCCTATCTCGCAAGTTGTACCAAACTGCACAAGGTGCGCAATTTTGATTAAAATCGATTAAGTAGTTTAAGAGTCCATTGCGGACAAACAACGTTACACGTAATTTATATATATTAAGATTGAAATAGAAATAAAATAAATTAAGTAAAATTATATACTTATAGATAGAACGTTTATTTTGTGCATATAATAAGGCAGCATTTTAAATTACAATAATAATTAATTTGCAGCAGCAACAGCCGTGCACTATGTTGCCCCGTTCAACTTGTTCTATTCCCACTGCCGAAAAGAACACTGCTAGAGTGATATAAAATGCATTGTTATTAAGCTATTGCATAGCTTCTATCGCGGGCCTTGAGCGCGGGGACCAAATCCAGAAATTCCGTAACGAAAAAAACCTCACGCTCCCCACTCCGACGGGCACGGAGGTGTGGCGTTGAAAGCCGTGCATCGTCTAACGTCGTTTCAGTTCGGCAGACTTCGGCACTCGGCAGACTTCGGCACGGTGTTTGTGTGCGTGCGACTAGACGTATGCGTGTACACTAGCTGCTAGCTCAATGATAAAAATTCCTGAATAACCTACATGTATTGTAAGATATTAAAAATATTTTAAACCATATTAACTTCTCATTTATTCAAGAAGAGAAAAAAATTGTTTTCTTATCGGTCACCACGCTCAAAAAGTGTAACTTGATTTAATATCAAAGACTTAACTGCATAAATAAAATAAATAAATAATTATAATTGCAATAGCTTTACCGCGGCAGTCACAGAGTGCCACACGTATTTTTGTTTTTCATTCATTGTTATTATGTTTTAGGAGTTTTTGACTCACCTTTCTTTCCCATATCGAACCTCCAATTCTTCGTGATGACTTATAATCATGAAAATGAATGTCGACGAAATTGACAGCTGGCAGCCAATCAGGCATCCCGTCTCTATATTCTCTCGACTCGTTCAAAACTTTTCGTTCTTGGTTAAAGAACCTCCTAGTGTTTTTCAGTTTCTTCATAATCTTCCTCGTCGCGTTCTTGTAGTGCTCTACGCTTGGGTTTCTCGGTCGTTTTAACGACGACATGTCTTTGGTTAGTTGCGCCATGTTCTCGGGCTGCCGCCTTTGATGTCGCCGCTTGTGTTCCACGGATCGAGCCTCGACCGGCATCACGCACATGACTATTACTAATACTGATAGAGCTACCAATAGCCTTTTAGGAAAACCTGTAACAATGAAATATATCATATTACTTTATATTAATTACTCTAGGAGCTTGTTAAGTTATATCGAAAGATATGTTATGAGAGTACACGATTCTCTCACACGCCGTGCTTTCTTGTGGCGGCTGGGAGTCTGAGGAGTCACATAAAAAATAATAAGCTTCATGATTATCGTAAGCGCATTTCTACGACGCACATATTATGTGCATAAAGTGCTCGTACAATCTCTGGGGCACTTTCTCGAGACCATTAAGCCTCGAGTTGGATCTCGAACGTGATTTTTTAACCAATTGCTTACGTTCATTGTGGAAGTTTTTCGTGCCTATGAGAGTTGTATAGTCTAAAGTATATTCTTTCGTTCGATGCAACGTTTGACTTTTATCGAAGCTTTTGAATCTTTGTGTCCGTGCCATAAAATATGTTTTATGTTCCGGCCCCAGCGATTCTTTGCAGCGTTGGTCAGAGAAACACCACCGACTACGAACATTCCGCTTTGTCCGACGCGAGTGCTAAAACGTAGAAAGTAAACCCTTTCATGCCGTTTTCGAAGTTTTATTTACTACGAATTGTAAAGGACATAAAGTTATTGACTTTTATTTATAAGTCTATACAATTTTACAATGTCATAATATTTTAATAGGCAAGGCAGATTATATTTTGAATATGTTTCTCGCACAATTTATAAACTTGAGGTAACTTTAATAATAGTGAACATTATTTCAGATTAACTTTACATATTTAATATAACTATTTTGTAAGACGTGGTAGCTAAAGGGCTAAGCGCCCGCCGAAAATTCGCTAGCGGGTAACTAATTTTCAATTCGATCTCTATTATTACATACCAATGAAAATCTTATTTGCAATTCCACAAGCTGATATGCCACGTAAGGATCAACAGTAAGAACTGGAACAAATAGGCAGTCTTATTGTTCATTAATTATGTATTTTAAATAAAATACTTAAACAATAGGTTAATATTTTAAATATCAAAACTTTAATTTGAGGTAATTTTATTTTTCTCTAATGTTGTAAAATCCTCCAATATTTATTGTGAAAAGTAATAACGTTAGAAATAGAAACCTACCAAATGTGCATATATTTATATCCTTATAAGCTTATAACATATTATTTAATATTTACATAAACAATCAAAAACTTCCCAGAAGTTTCACATTTCAATGATTTACGAGACCGGTTAGAGTATAGGTTGCTTATGTCACATTAGATGAGGATAAGTGGTTTATGGTCACTGAATCATTAGGTCAATCCGTGTCGTTGACAATAAGTAAATAGAAGAGTGTACACAGGCATGATACAGAACGCGCAAAAGTTTGCAGGCTGCTAAATGGCTGGCGGTTGTGTATGACTATTTTTTATTCTGCGGCTATTGTTTGTGGGCACTGGCTTAATATTTATATCGGACGCATTGTTGAGATTAAACAATGCTAACGTGCATTACCACGAAAACTATACTATTCATGTACATTACGTAGTTTAGTATGGGATTTCCCAACTAAGTAAGTATCGCGCGGCGGAAAGGTAACTATAACCATGGTCCAATGGTCAAAGCATATTATTTTATTTATGATATAAATAAACAGCACAACAATTATTTCCAGTTTTACAATAATACGTATGTAGCGGTATAATAATATTGACGTCAAAACGTTTACGTCAATATGGTCAGTTTAAATTCAAAATACATACAACACAAAAAAAAATTGATTAAAATTAATTTAGAGATTGCCATTTTTCAGAGAAAGATGTTCCGATGAGTAACTGGAACAATCTTATTGGGCAACAAAATATAATTTTGGTATCGGGTAACATCGCAGTATTGCTTTCAGCGAAAAATCCCTTTGATCGATCGCCGCCATTCAAATGTTATTCATTCCCACACGATTAGCTTGAGAGGCTACAGTGAATTCTTTCCAAATACGTATTGTCAACTTCTAAAATCGATCGTTTGTCAAACACCGCTCCTACAATTTATATCTTTATTAAAATGAATTGTATTTAAATTTCATTTTCATGTCTGATCAATATCTGTGAATATTAAAAGTGGAATATTACAAAACTTTGACGGAAATGCCAATATAGTGTTTCTGGAAATATTTTATGAAAATTAATTATTTAATTTTATTTTGAAAATTTCTATTATAGGGATTTAATACAATATTAATTTTTAGTCATTCATAAATAATTGAGATGTACACTTTTTAAAGAATATACTATAAACAATTTTTACGTCAAACGCTGTTGTTTTCATTCGTTCGGTAATGCAACGATTAATAAATAGCATCACACACCAGTTAACAAGACATCCATGAACAAGGCATTGATGAAGCTCCTTCGGATAAGTCCATATTCATACAACAAAATAATCCCGAAAACGAAAACACCCAATATTGATAAACCGATATGAAAACACTGGCTGGAAACACTCGCGGCGAGTATCCAAAGACACTGGGATACTTTTTAAAGGGATCACTAGTGTTGGGACATTCGCACTGACAGCGTGCGTGTACCGGCGACGTGTGGCGAGGAGCGAGTGCGACACTGGCGCGCGGGCACTCTCCGCTCGTTGAATGAGCGCCAAAATGCCGCGCCGTACATGAAATAGCCGGTCAAATACTATGCGAAAACCTTTACCCGCCCGCTGGAAAGCGTACATCGACCCTTTCGGAGAGGTCCTTAGAACTCAATCTTTTTGAAATATGACCAGCAAATATATATATATATATATATATATATATATATATATATATATATATATATATATATATATATATATATATATATATATAGCTTTTCTTCGCTTTAGAACATATTTAAAGTGCTAAGAACGTTAATAGTTGATTATAATTTGAACTAGCACTATGCTGCTATCGAAAGCATTATATTAGGTATATATAGATATATTATATACATCTACATATAGTATTATTAGTACATTTACTAGATTTTACTCCTAAGCCGCGTTTTTTTTTCATTTACGAAAGTAGATTAACGAGTAACTTCAATTATATGTATCTAGAGAAGTGGATATGCTTGTGCAGTGGTGAGGATCAAGGTTCTGGATAGCTCATTGTTTGAATGTGAGTTAGATGACGATATCATAAACCACATTTTCTTCAAGTGTCCTAAACTATCCTCTTACATGTATGATCACCTTTCGCATTACATCACTCAACCTATAGATTTCAATTCTCTTATAGCATAGGTACAATGCAAACAATTTTTTGTGTATAATTTATGTGATATTATTTATACTAATAACATAAAACTTTCGGTTTTTGGCAAAGTTTGAATGAGAAATTTGATGATATATAGATTTTATACTTTAGTAGAAAAGTGAACTCGTGTATTGTTATCATAAACTCTTATTTTAATCAAGTTTATCAGTTTTCATTTATAAAAATGAACCGCAATAATTGCTCTATTTTTATTCAGTTATTAAAATTTTTCTTCTACATTTTATAATAATATAAGAATTCTTAAATATTAACTATTTTAACAAATTTAAAGATTACAACAACACTTAATTCATTTTATGTTTAAATTAAAAAATAAATTTCTAAAAAATTAATACAAACCACTCCGTGCCATTCGCTTTCCACATCTTGTACAAGTGAACAATAATTATTCGGTTAGACATCGACGCTGAATCATCGATGAGTCTATCCTAAACCTAAAGTGACTTTTTATCAGACGTTAGTCGCTTAGCCGCGCTGGCACGTGTGTGACATTTATTAATTTAAACCAGAGATGTACACCGATAACAGGATAATTAACAAGCAATCGATCGCAAATCAATTTTGTGTAAAATCAATATACCTAGATTACTTTAATAATAAGTACTTGAGAGCGTGATTTGGTCATTGTTTCGGAGATCCTTGAATCCCAACTGAATTTTTAATAATTGTGCCAAACTATATTTGTTTTCAATATTTCCAATGTTTTATTCCGGAAGTGTTATTTCAAATATGTATACTTGGACAGAAACGCACAATAGGTTAATTAGTCTGTTTGTACAAATATTTATTACATTAGTTTGTGCACATTCGCAGCCAAGAAAACATTGCAACGTGACTATGTACTGGAGATTATATTTACTTCAATTAATATTTTTAATTTTTTGTAAATATAAATATTCGATTTCGACAGGTGCATTGCGTAATCAGTATATTACTATGTTGTAAAATTTTTATCCTACATAATATTTCCTAAGCCCTTAATTTTAGCGTCGAAAAAAAGCGAAGCACATATCTTGTATATTTAATGTTACTTTCGTTTTCTTTTTTACGGTTCAAGTTTGTTGTCGTGAACAAACAGCCAGCAGGACGCGAGAAATAAAACCAAGAACTAAACATGTAAGTAAACTAAGATATTAAAAATGCAAACCAGACCATCTATACCAAAGTTGTGTATTATTCATTAAAGGTAATATGTACGTCCCACAGCTGGGCACAGACCTTCTCGCATTACTGAGGGAATTAGTCGTGTTGCTCAGGGTTTAAGTACTCGCTGTAAATTTCACTGTATTCGAGCAATGCTGGTTCGATAAAATTGTCAATTACAATTTTGTACTTATTCATCATGAGCTCGGCGCGGCGGTGCAAGGAAACATCGTGAGGAAACCGACATTGAAAAAATCACAATCACATTCAATAGGCAGCTTGATAGAAATCTGACACTGTATATTTAGCATCTAGGATGTTTTTTTTTTAATTATTTAAAACACTAACGCCTGTCACTGTCATCCAGACGGATAAGCAGAGGCTACGGACTTCCATTTGGCACGCACAATCCTGACATATCTCTCTAGCTTCCTTTACATTACGCTAAGGGCCGCGGGTTCGAATCCCACACGGAACAAGTATTTGTATGGCTTACAAGTAATTGTTCCGGGTCTGGATGTTTGTCCCTGTGAACTTTATTTTTGTAAACTGCCCCCACGATACAGGGTAAAATCCTAGTGTGGAGGTAACGTTTTATAAAAAACAAAAGACTGAAAAAATGCTGAAAAGACATTGATATAGCTACGCATACATTCTCATCGATTAAGAGTACCCTTATTTTGGCCTATTTTCAATATTTAGCCAATTTGTTCCATAAGCTTTCGTCTAGGGCGTCCCTTCCCAACTCTTCCGTTCACTTCTGCAACATAAATTTGTTTTGTTACTCTTTCCTAGTTCATTCTTTCTATGTGGCCAAACCAACGAAGCATTCCTTTATTAATCCTGTCATTCAGATTCAGATTAATTATTTAAATTAATATTTATTTATGTTTATAAACTAGTAATTTGTCAGGAGGAACTAGAAAGATGTTATTAGTTCAAGAGTTGTGAAGAAGATAGAAGTGAAGATTTATAGAAATAAACATTTGAACGCGCACCTCTTGTATTATTTACATTGACACGTTTTTTATCTCGTGGTTAACAAGGCAATGCCGTTGTACTCGACCGCTTATTAATAATGTCAATAAAGGATCATTATGAGCTAGATTTATAACATACTGGGGTAGCATTTTTGTAGCTTTTTCAGGATGAAAGGCCGCAACCTTGCTTTTTTTCAATTCAATTTATTTTAATAACCATTAAAGATGAAACACCTGTGATGTTTTTAATGTAACATAAAAGTGAATTTTTTTTGATTTTCAAAAGCTATTCTGTTAGTAAACAACTCATGAGGATTTCACTGTACGTAATGCTTCTGTTTTGTTGAAGCTTCTGCAAATGAAATACACAGTTGGCAACACCGGGACGTACCAAATCGATTAATAATGAGTTAGTGTGATGTTTTTTGTACTGTATTAATGAAGGAGATTCCCAACGCGATGTTCCAACTCTCGTGACATGATGACACAGCTTTCGTCAATTAGTATTTTTTTTACGTGAAAATGAGTTTGCAATTAGCTTAAGTTGAGGCTTTTCCGGTCGGCGATTATTACCGCTTCAAACGCGCAAGTTTTTATTCATTGTATTGTGTTCCGATTTTTACAGTGTAGTGGCGGTGTAAGAATATTTGCTACTCTATATCATTGGGTGTCGTAAAAGGCGACGGAGAGAAACAAATCAGAAGATGAGCAGCAGCATCTTCTTAATAACGACAAACAAAAGAAAGCTGTGATTGCCAAACCGCTAGCCAAACGTGGCGATTCTGGCAAATATCCAGAGGCAATCTATAGGGGATAGTACCAGGATAGTATAAAAACTAAAGATTTAATTCTTCGATGTGCACAAGCACGCTTCTGTAGTGACGAAAGTATTGTTAGATGACACGATATAATACTAGGCGAGCAGAAAGTAGAGGAGGTAAAATCAATTCATACAGCCACCGCTCAAAGCAAGCTCAAGCTATGTCCAGCAGTGGAATTTAATAGAATGTAACGATAACGGAAATTTAATTTCGAATTAATTTAAGGATATCTTCGTTTTAAACGATATAACGAGCTTGCCTTTCTTTAATTAGTAACTCAATCTGGCCAGTGATTGATTTTGGTTGAGCATTTATGTAAAATTTGCCGTAGTTTAATATAAATACCGGTAATGTTACATGTTGTTCCATAGATAACAGAAGTAAAATATACGGTACAACATGCGTAAAGCGAGGATGTAGAATAATTTTACAGCGTTGGTATTTTAATCCGACTGCAATCTCGGCGTCAAGGCAACACTTGTGTTAAGCTTAGTCAGTGCGTGTTACTAACTTCACCTTCATCACCCTACTATCAGATGTAGGGCTTAAATACTGCCTGTATTTAAGCCCTGGATTATTATATTTAAAAAAAGGAACAAGACCTTAAATAATAACTGATTATTTTAATTTTTGTCATAGCAACTATATTTTTTGCGTCTTGTAATAGTAGTAATTACTCAGCAAAAGTGAGTGCAGTTAAACAGAGCCTTCATGTGGAAAATTGTGTTGCGGTTGTCTCATCGGCTGACTCACGGATTTTCCGAATTTTCAGAAAATTGACGGAAAGCCTACAAGAGCGGTGTCGTGTGGCGTTTGTTACACGGTTAGTCACGCAACTGTCTGCTCGAGATTCATATTAAGTTAGAGGATTCGTCATCAGGTTGAAGTAAAAAGAAACCGGGTAGTAGTCCAGGGATTTTAAAGTTTATACTACACTAGGATTATCTGTAAATAGCTTATTAAATTTGTAAATTCTCTAAAGTATTACCAACACCATAGACGATTGAGCACAATCTTCGACTTCTTGATGCTCTAAAAGAAGTTATGGTTTTGATCCTTGAATTAAGAACTAGATTAATTTTAATACAAAAAACATAAAATATATATGGTTTATGAAGCTTTTTAAT